ATTTGACTGGGATAAAATTTTCCCAGCCGAGGTTTTAAGGAAGCGATCCATTTCAGGGCCTCCATCGAGAGACAAAGCCCCGTCTCGTCTCTAGCAGTAACACTAATCAGTGTTTTCTCGCTGTACACATGTGAGAAAAGATCTCAAAATTCCTGTTTCCTTCTGCAACGAACAAGAACGTTCATGGAACAATTGCAGTTCATGACAAGCGATGACGAACGAAAGGGATCTGTTTTTAGGGCCGCATTCAGCTGTCACCGACTTCCAATGACGCACGCAGCTCGCCATGCGTCCTCAGAAGGGGCCCAGACTCTCACGCGGAAAAGCACGCACAAGATCCTTCTTTCCTACACGTCCAATGGCTTCTTTGACATCAAGAACTGTGAGAGATCGTCGAATGACGTTCTATACGCAAAAAACACGAGATGATCTCCGTCCCAGTCTACAACAGCTGAGAGCAGCTGGTTGCTGGACCAGTTCACAACTCAAAAACCTATTTCTGGAACACAGAATGTGTTAATAATAGTCTCTCCCACGTAATCCCGCCCACATAACCTTATTCCACACTCGCCTCATGTTTGCCTTAATCGTACGGAGACAATGCACCGAGGTTCAATTGTTTCAAAAACCACGAAGAAAGTTCCAGAAGCCGCCGCTCGTAACAGGCGTCTGGAACTTCAACAGCGGGAAGTTCCTACTGTTAAGAAACGGACAGATACACGATTATTGGCCCGGGGTGTGGGATGGAGGACAGGGCTAATTACAAAAAAGCGATTTTGAATAAATACGTTGCGAAGATGTTAAATGGCCAGATTATGAATTCGTGACGTCAGCAGAGCCAACCAACACTGGAAATCCGTAACGCGGCAAATACAACGGGAAAGGGATGAGACAGGAAATGTTACAAGAGAAACTGACGTGGTGAGGAAGGCGTCAGAGAGACAGCGAAAGGGCGAAAGAACCAATAGGGCCTACTCACTGGGTCCATCTTTCACAAAGCGTTTCAGGAAAAAAGAAGCCCTTCCAGTATCATCATCATCATTGAAGGAGAAAGTTTTGATTTTCAATATACAAGCCTATTACGATGAGTAGTCCCGTTTTGAAACCACAGCAGAGGAACGAGGTAGCCCACACTCACTGGTTTAAAAGCGACGTTTCGAGAGAGAAAAAATCTAATACTACCATTTAATTAACCCCTTGAAATCGAAGCTCGTCAAAGTAACATTTAAGAATTAAGTACGTACCGAAAAGAAAACACTTCACCATTACAAAGATCAAGTGGTTAACGCCATTTAAGGAAATAATCGCGCGTTTGTATGTTTGAAGACGGTTAAGAAAAGACCTAATTTCTTCACATTCATTTAGTATGCAATGAAACAGATGAGACATGCTTTTCGCACTGGCGCATGGGACACAAGCAGATCCTGTCGGCAAATTTGTTCTTGCTTACTTTGTTGTTGTACAAAATCAGATATTGTATCCTATAGCAGTTCAGTTTGCATCTTCACGAGATCGAATCCCCACAATCCACTATAGTTCCATCCTCGAACGCAGTTTTGCAATAAAAACGCCTGTGCAGTCAGCCAGATCCAACGTGTGAACGAGGAATGTAAGTAAAAGCTGATGGAAGTGCAGGGCATTTGGATTTCCGGTGCGTTATTCCCCTCGCCAAGACGTCATCACGGGAGCAGACACTAAAATGTTACGACGCGGATCTGCCATTTTATGACGCGCGCCGCGCATTGCATTTCCCACGACTGTTCACAAAAGAGTGACAATAGCAGAGACAACTCTTTCTACCGTCCCACGTACCTCCCCCGAGTGTCCTTGTTCTATTTTCTTACCTCGATATTTTTATATTCCTATTACAACGCGCCTCATAATTCAATAGTTACAAGTCACAGAACCAGAATTGGTTTTCAACCTACTGCAGACAAGCGAAGCAAACTTCAATTGTTCTTCCACAGACTTTTCATGCCGGAGGATAAAACTCTAAAGAGAACACGTGCCTTGGATCGTGTCTCCACGGCAACAACAGGGGGGGGGGGGACGAAGTTGTCGCTCCGATCAAGGTGGCCTTGCGGGAAATCCTCTGCAATCCCCTTCCCCTCCGCTCCCCTCCCTACATATTAACGGTTCGGAAAGCATCTCGCGTCTACGTGGACACAGACAGGGAACGCTCCATCGGCATTACTTTCAGGTGTCAACTTATAAAACACGAACACTTTGGACATCCGCCACATTCTCAGACATCGTGATCGGCTTCCTACAGCATCTTCAAACGACCTGGGCTGCAGAGATAAATCCCTGACGTCTACCGGACCGAAATGGCTTCCATATCCAGGGAGCCCAATGTAGCCAAGAGGTCCTTAATTTGGCATATAAGGTCAACATCGTCCTTCTTTGGATGAAATACCTCCTCAGTCAATTTAGGAACCACGCCAAGAACATTCGGATAGCTTCTTGGCTGACCACTGTGACGGAGTGCCCCAGCGTCCACACTTGACAGAATCCGTGCTGCATTCAGGATGGAAAACCACGACAGAACACATTCTTAGTAGCATCAGATACGAAAACAGAACACAAGAGTCCCTATTGGCTGCCACAGAACACCCGCGACATTGTCGTTCAGAGGGCGATTGTCGTTCTCTGGTGTATTTTCATTTGTTTCGTTGTTCAGAGGCGCCTCGCGACATTAAAATACCTTCCAGTGTTAAGAGAAAGGAACGTTTCAATTTGGCGTGGGCCTTTGTGGACACAGTTCGGGTGGAACTAATTATTTTCAACAGTAGCCCGTTAGAACTTCGTGCAAACATAATTCTCGTCCTCATTATGAACCCTGTAGCACGGCC